AACGGACACTCTCGAAACCGCGCCGCCCCAGCTGCGCAAGCCGCGCGCGGCACGTGCGTGCAGGTGTTTGCTACCAGCCCAATGGTGTCCACTGGCGTTTGCCGCGGGCTCGCCCACCGATCTGCTCCAGCAGCCCGCCGCCGACTGGCGGGTCCAGCCCTGTGAACAGGGCAGGCGCCCCGCCGTACAGCGGCGTGAACTCGTAGGGCAGCCAGCGCACGCCCCCCAGGCGGCCGGCCTGGGCGTTATCGAGCCATATGGAGGAGAGGATGAGGGGGAAGGGGCGGCCGGGGGCCAGCAGGTACACCTGCGGGCCGGCCAGGCCGGGGGATCGATGACGGAGGGGTGTATGTACTGAATCAGGGGGGCAGGGGGCAAAATTTGTGTTCAGCTGAGAATCCTGCAAACTTCTGGGGTGCCAGAGATGGCGCTGCCGCCGATTTTTGTATAGCATTTTTGTGGTCGCGGCTGCAGGGACTGGAGGCCACCTGGTGGCGACGCCCCCCAAAACACACACGCACGCACGCACGCAGACACACACACACACACACACACACACACACACACACACACACACAAGCGCGCGCACACAAACGCAAAACCAGCCACACGCGGCGCGAGTCCCAGGCGCGCCTGAAGCCCGGGGTAGGCCGCCCGCGCGCGCCGTGTGGCGGTCTCGTTGGCGGTGCCGGGCGCGGTGACGGTGCTGCTGTGGTTGTTGAGGCCAAAGGGCTCCAGGAAGGCAGCACCTTTGTTGGTTGAGGACGATGAAAATGTGCGTGCGAGCGTGTGTGCGTGTGTGCGTGTGTGCGTGTGTGCGTGTGTGCGTGTGTGCGTGTGTGCGTGTGTGCGGCGGGCACGCCGGCGGCTGCGGAGCGCGTGCCAGGACGGGTGCTTCGAAGCCGCCGCCGCGCGAGCGAGCGGCGCGGGCAGCAATTGGACGCGCACACACACCCACGCAGCGCCGGCTCCCGCCCCAGCCTGGTAGCCCCGTGGGGTCATCGGTCCGTGCGGAGCTGCGCGGCGGCTGCATCGTCGGCCGGGCCCCATCGCGGCGGCCGGCCCACGCGCGCGCCGCCACCCCCCGCGAGTTTACGCACCCACGGCGTCGGACCAGCCGCCGATGCCGCCGCGCGCCCGCGGCAGCGCGCCGGTCAGCACCTTGCCCAGCGCGTCAGCGACAAAGCCGGCGTTGGCCAGGGCGGCGCCGAAGCTGCCTAAGGAAGCCGGGGAGTCGGCCCTGATGCGGTCAGCAGTCAAGTCCTGCAACGGCGGCGGCAGGAAGGCGGCACGGGGGCTGGGGGCCGCGAGCGCGGGTCGTTCTGCCGGCTCTGCAGCGCCGACGGGCGCACCAAATGCCAACAAGTCTGGGACGAGGGTGAGGATTGAGATGTTTCAGCATCCCCCTGTTCGCCCGCTTCTAGAGACGTCCAGGCTTGTGGAATGGGGCTCCGTTTCATGCGTCGGCATCGCTGTGGCTTTGGCTGTCGAGCATCACAAGGACGGATACTCCAGATTGCTACCAGTCTGGGCCCAGGGCAAGCGCTGCCGGCTTTGGCGATTTGGCCGATGCACGCGCCGCTCGTGGCTGCGGCTGGAAGACCTTTGCCAGCCACCCTCTCCCCAACTTTGCAGCCGGCAATTGCTGCGTGCTGGTGGACCCGCATGGTCCTGCCTCGTCGGCAGGCGCTCAGGCATGTACCTGGGGTTTAAGGTACGGCCTGAAGAAATCTTCTGGCGGGTGCTTGCTCTGGAATGAGTAAGCCCCCACCAGCCACGAGCTGCCTGAAATCGAAGACAGGTGGCGTGCCTGCGGGTGGCGGTGGCCGCGGGATGGGAGGGGCCGATTATGACTCGGGGCGGGCGGGCTGGTTGTGCGGCTGTGAGTGCGATGGGGACAAGGAGTGCCGAGACTCATGTGTGCCCACGCTGGGAGACGCACGCGTCTGTGCACGGGTCCCGCCGTTCAAGGGTCGGAAGCCGTAGCTGCGGTATTGCTGTTGCTGTGGCTGCTGATGCTGCTGCTGCTTTTTTTGTTGCTGTGGCTGTTGCTGTGTATGACCGAGTTGCTTTTTTTGGCTGTTTCTAATGCTACGTTTTATGAATCCACGGTGTCATCAATTTCCCAGCCGGCCGCCAACCTGATCCAGGACGCCGAGGCTGTTGAGCGCCCTCAGCCAACCCAGGCCCAGGGTAGCTGCCCGGAAGCCGCCGCCTGCCTGGCGCACAGCAAGGGTGGCATGCGTTCTTGGGGCGTGCGTTCTTGGGGCAGACACGCTTGTGTGTGTGGAGTGTGTGTGTGTGGGGGGGGTGTGGGTGTTGACGTGTGTGGGTGTGTGTGCGTGTACAGACACACGCATGTGTGGGGGGGATGAGAGTGCACAGACCGGCAGGGATCGGCGCGGGGCGTGAGCTGCGGGCTTGCTCTACTAGTGCCGCAGGGGGCTCGGGTGCAGCATTCTGGCGGGGGCCACGGCCAGCTGGGCGTACTCAGGGCGCCAGGCGGGGTGCCGATCGAGGCAGGTCGGGGTTGGGGGGCCGCAGGCTGGTGGGCGGACGCACCAATGAGATGCCGAGGCTTGGGCGCAACAAGAGGGCGGGCAGGGCAAAGGGGGAGGACGGGTCCACCTCGGGGTAGCGGAAGCTGCCAGGGTGGCAGCAATGAGTGACGGGGCAGGCAGGGGCGAGCGGTGCATGGTGTCTTGCATGGGTGGGTAGCGAGCCCAAGGGGAGGCCGTCCCCGTCAGCACGGCCAGTGCGGCCGCGAGCGGTTGGTTGGTGTGGCGACGTGTGCGTTGTGCCCGCTGCAGGGCGGGCATGGGAGGGGCTCGCCTGCCGGGGTCCGCGGAGCCGCCCCAAGCATAGGCCTGGGTGGGCTGCTGCGGCGCAAACACGGGGTTGGGCACGGGCTCCGCCGCGGCCGGGCGCGCGAGCGCGCAGAGCGCGAAGGCAGCGCCCATTGCCAGCAGCGTGGGCAGCGCCGCAATTGGGAGTGCGGTGCTTCGGCTTGGCATTGGAATAAGCTATACGCAAGCAATAGATGAAGGGGTGTGCGGCTAGACATGGATTGATCCTGGGGTGTTTGGCCGGGGGCATCGCCAGCGACAAAGTGACCCAACGTGTGTCATAGCGACGGCGCTTTGCCGATGTTTGCGACAAGTGCAGTGGGAAAGGCAGCATAGCACAATGATAAAACGACTGTCAGGTGAGCATGGATGCAACGACAGGCGATGCACTCCATGATCAGAGCGCGAAGTAATCTCGCCAGATCCCTCGTTTGCAAAGTCGCCACATGTAGACGCAGTGACACTGCAGCTTGAAAACACGTTTGATACATCTCGGGATGCTATTGGCTGCATCGTGGACCCCACGCTGCTGCAAGTGTGTGCTTCATGACTTGATTTGTGTGCATGCTCGGTGCTAGAGGACGCGCAAAATTCAGCTGTAGAGTGTTCCTCCATGTTTCGCTGCCTGCCTGCCAACCTGACTAAAACATGTTCTCAAGAGATAACTATTGTCCAAGTTTGAAACTGCACAGCCACGGGTCACAAGAAACACCATATCTTACAGTCCATGACAGCTGCTGACCGTCCTTGACCGGACCCCACCAGTGTGGCTTGGTTGTCAGTTGGGGCACCGTGCCGTGCAGTTGCGGCCTTGCGCGGCGCCGCGCCGCGCCAGAGCATGCTCCTTTGAATTTCATGTGTATGTGTGGCCGAGCAGGGGAAAAGGCTGTGCACGAGAATTTCTCGGAGTGAGCGCCAGGTGGCGCTCTTTTTTGCAGCGTATGTTTAACGGCCGCGGCCTCGCTGCGATGCTTGGCACACAGCCTCAAGATCTGGACAGCAGGTGGGGAACGACACAGGTGGGGACGCGGGCACGTCGCGCGGCGCCGTCGGCAACCAAAGCTCACTGATTCCAAAAACGCAAACGATTGATACTTGCCACGACGCGCCCAAAATGCGACCCCATCTCCAGCTATCAAGAGCGGCAAGAGCAATAAGGGGTCCACACCAGCGAAGGCGAGCCCAGACATGAGCAAACCCAGGCTTCCCAAGAAGCGCTCGCGCAAAATCGTGATCGGAAGCCGAGGGGGCACGCGGGCGGGCCCCGCCCGCCGCAGCCGAACCCAGGCCGCCGCGCCGCTGCCGTGGCGGCTGGGGCGAAGGCAAGTCTCCAATGGGGTGCAGCCGCAGCACCCGCCAAGGCGGCCGTTCAAGCCGCACGCCGCCACGTCGTCCGCGGGCCGCGCCAATGCTATGCGTCGAAGGCCGGCGACGGGAGTGCGGGGAGGGTGGTGGTGGTGGTACAAACGAGGATACTGTTCGTGCCGTTTGTTGATATAATTGGTTGTTGCTATGGGCACACGTCCTTGTTGATTGTGTACACATCAATCGCCGCCGCACCCAAGGACATCCCGAGGAGCCTGGGGCGAGCCGCCGCGCTGGAGGCAACGCAGCGGCCGCCGCGGGCGGCCGCGGCGACGGACGGAATGCGAGCGGGCACATGAGCTATGGTGATGCATGAGTCTGCAGGTGGGCAGGGGCGCGGGAAGGGCGCCCCTCGGCGCCGCCGCCTGCGCCGCTGGCCCGCCAAGTTTGAATGGGCGTGCGACCCCACGCCCAGCGCTCTGTCAGTGATGCTCTGAGCAATGCTTTCAGCACACAACAACCGGCGCCGGTGCACGGTGGGCGCGCCCCTCCTGGCGCAGCAGCCACAGCGCGGCAGGGGCTGGAGGCGCGACTGCCCAATGGGCGGCAGGAGGAATTTGCGGCGCCGCGACTCGCTTGGTTGATGGCCCCGCAGCCGTGGACAGAATTCGAGCCAGCGTCCCGCGCGCGCGGCGTCCCAGCCGCGCTGCGCGCCCACCCTCCGAGCCCGCCTTTGCAGGCAGGCTTCGCGCAAGGCGGAGAGGAGGAGGGGCGTTCATGCGCGCGCCCCCTCCGGAGACCGCCCCGACTCAGCTGCTCTCCCCAGCACTGCAGCGCATGTCTGGAGGCTCACACGTCGTAGCAGCCTTCCTCATTCTCTTCGATCCGCGGCTCCCACCGCGCACCCGTCCGCCGCGCCGCCGCCGCCGTGTCCGCGCGCGCCTTGACCGCCGCGCGCCGCTTCAGGCCGCCCAGCTGCCCGCAGACCTGGCTCTTGAGCGTTTCGGTGGCCGTGAACTTGGGGCGCGCAGTGGCGGCCGCGGCGCCTGCAGCAGCGCTCGCGACGGCTGCATGAGGGTTCCAGGGATCGTAGCCCTCGCCGCAGGCCATGTTGACGCCGTCAGACATGGCTGTGGTGTCGTAATCCACGACAGGCTGCGCCGCCGTGTGCTGCTGGTGCTGCTGGTGCTGGTGTTGGTGTTGGTGGTGCTGCTGCTGTTGTTGGTGCTGCTGCTGCTCAGGCGCGGTGGCCTGCGCCCCCGCCGCCCCCGCGCCGCCCGCCGCCCGCTCCTCGCGCCACTGCTTGGTGTGGCGGATCGCCGCGCGCTGCCGCAGGCCGGCCAGCTGCGAGTGCAGCACGGCGCGCTCCTGGGGGGCGCGCGCGGCGTCCTGCGGCGGGCGCGCGTGGTGCTGCTCAGACCAGCGGCGGCTCGCGGAGAAGCTCCAAAACCTGTGGATTGGTCACATGACGGCAAGCCGCGCGGGGTCAGCGCCTTTGAGGCTCCGATTCGCGGTGCATCCAGAGGCAGGGAGGGGGAAAGCTGCGGCGGGCGGCGTCCCGCTCGCTGCGGCGCCCCAGGCGTGCCCGCGTGTGCAGCGAGGCGCGTGTGCAGAGCGGCATGCAGCAAGAGGGGTGGCCCCCGTCCCTGCCATGGACCCCCCCCACAAAGCCTGGTTGCATGCCGCACCCACCAGTCAGAAAACTCCCATCCGTTATGCTGGTTGCGGGTCACTGCGCCGCTGCTGGCGTGGGGCCGCTTGCCGGTGAGCACCTCGTACGCCTGCTGGATGCTGACAAAGCGCCGCTCGGCGTCGCCGGTCTGATTGACGTCCGGGTGGAACCTTTGAGGGGATCGATTGGCGATTCGTCAGCCGCGCCAGATGCGCGAAGGCGCGCGGGCGTGGGCTCGCAAGTGGCAAGGGGCGGCTGCTGGCGGGGGCGCCAGAGCGGACAGCCTGCAGTATTAGTGTGCCGCGAGGTGAGAGGCAGGGGCACGGCTCACTTGAGCGCTAGACGCCGGTAGGCACGCTTGATCTCCTTCTCATCTGCATCGCTGGCCACACCCAGCGTGCGGTACGGGTCCTCCAGCAGGATGCGCGCGCACACCTGTGCAAGGGGAGGGTGGAGGGCAGGCGGAGGGCCGATCGGGCGGCGAAGCGCACGTGCGAGTGCGTGCGTTCTTCGGGCGTTGGAGGGGACGGGGCACCGGCTGCAGCCGGCGTGGGTTTGCGCGTTGCACCCGGGTCTGAAAGTAGGCTCACCAGCGTACGAGGCCTAGCCGAGGTGCGCTGGCTGAAGCGGGAGCTACATGTCCATGCCCGCGTCCTTGTGCCAGCAAGAGCAGCCATCCTGGCCGCGTTATGCTGTGAGCAAGAGTCGCACTGAAGTGGGTTGTGCGTGATCGTGTTGTGAAGGACTCTGGACGACGAGACTGCTGCTGACGGGGCTTGCAGTGCTGCAGCGGCGCGCGTTGAGTGCGCGATTGAAAGCACGCGGCAGAATGAGACTAGCTGTGATAATTATATGCCGAATGACAAGTACATGCTCCAGGAAAGGATTCTGGCGACCTTGTCTGTTCCCACCCGGACCGGGGCACTGCTCTGCAAGTTCTACTCGCAATTTTAGGGACCCGTCGAGCTTGCCGCAGACGCAAATGACATGGAGCTGGCAAGATTGTGCTGATGTTGGAGAGACGGCAAGCCGCTTTTGCTGCCGCTGCATCCATTGAACCTGCCGCCAGGGCCCGATGCTGTTGGAGACATGCTGACTCGCCCGCTCACATGGGCTGGTTGCAACCCGCTCGACCGGGCCTACCCCGTTGCATGCACGCATCGATGACGCCGCAACGTCTTCCCAAGTTTCACACATGATGCTGAACGGCCTATGTTCATCTAGCCAAGCCGCTTGACTTTGGTCAGATGAGAAGCGCCACTGCTGTGTTGCCACTGATGCAGAGGCATACCTCTACTTTGTCACCATCTGTCTATTACTTGCCAGGAGCAAGCGTCTCTTGGCTAGTAAAACAACATAGGTTTATGTGTGTTACACACTGAATACAAACATTGACGTATCAGCATTCCCACAATTACCACAAAATAACATAACAGAGAAACAGCAAACACACAGGGATTGCGCAAGACATGCATGCGCATGCACCCGAAAGCAGCCAGTGGCAATGATGGAGGGGGTGGAGCGGTCGCTTTTGCACAGCAAAGCTGGAAAACCACCAACGAGCACAACAAAGGTGGGAGCACCGGTCACAGATGTGTTGCCTAGTTCCCGTTAATAAACCGACCTGCGGGCGCCACCTCCTGCTGCGATGACATGGGCGAGTGTGTTTTTGGGCACACATCTTTGTGCAGTGCAAGGGGCACATGAGACTGGATGAAGGGGGGCGGAGGAGGAGCAACAAAGGGCCCAACGGCGGGGCTCACAGGCGGCCACCACCGTTCCAAAGGGTCCCTGCAACAAGTGAGTTTTCCCAGTGAACCGCATTTCAGCGCAGCGGCGCGCAAACAACTGAGTTGTTGTGGTTATTGCAGGTGCAACCCCCAGCTCCGCATCGAATATGCAGTCACACACCCGCGCGCCGCACAGCACGGGGCGGCAGCGCGCGTGTGCTTGCACGCCTTGCGCCGGCAATGGGCGCACACGGCCGCGCATGGCCCTGGCGGCGTCCCAGGTCACGCGGGCAGGCGTGACAAGAGGGACGCCAGCTCTCAGGCAGGTTCCTGAATTGGGAGTAGAACCAGTGGTGATGTACATCCGTCGTTGCTAGGAGGCTGCAGGCGCCCCGCTAAGCAAACGAGCCCGGCACCGCTCTGCTTGCGCGGCCATCTCAGGCAGCAGCTGCAGCCGCTGCACCATCACTGGTGGCGGGTACGCTGCGCAACCCGGGACGCGCATCCGCCGTGCAAACTAGCGCCAGCCGGCCCCCGTGACAAACACAGGCCGCACAGCAAAACACACCTCGACACACAAAGCAATGCGTTCTATCGACGGGCTGGCTGGCGGGCTGGTTGGCAACCAGCCCCGCCTGCAGCACCAGCAAAGGCGGCACGGTCAATCACGGTCAACCACGCCACACTCTTCGACCACGTACACCCGGGTCCGGTAACTGCGTCATCGGCTCTCTCACAGAGCCCCTTGAAGGAGGGGTCTACAGGCAGGAATGAAGAGCACACGCGCTAGGCAGTTGGCAGACCTAACCAACCATAAAGCCCCGCTCACATACCCCAGGCCGGAAGGCGGCCGCCCGCCCAACGGCGCTGCGCTGCCGCCTGCGGGGCGCGATGAAGTGCCGCCCCCCTGACTACAAGAGCGACCGCCGCCGCGCCGCCGCCGGCCGCGACCGTGCGGCGACGGCCGGGCGGGCGCCCTCAGGCGGTGTAGATGAGAAAATCCTCTAGAGCGGGGGTACCTCAGCCCCTCGTTGACTTGGAGACCCTCTAGTGCGTGCGTCTCGGGTTTTGTCGATGTTCAGACCCTCTAGAATGGGCGCCTCGGGTGGCAGTGGTGTGCAGCCCCTCAAGGCGGGCGCCTCAGGCGCTGTTGATGTGGAGGACCTCCAAAAATGACCCTGCCACCTGCGCCTCATCAGTCGCCTCCTCGGGCGCCGCGTGCGGCGCTGTCGCGCCCACGCAATCCCCGCCAGCCTCAATAGGTTTCGCCCCCGGCGGGAGCGCGCCCTCCACTTCCGCGGCGGCCGCCTCTGCGTCGGCGGCGCGCGCGACGACGGCGGCGAGCGCGGCCTCGGCGTGCGCGGCGGCGGGCAGCGCGGGCGCGGCGGCGCGGCAGGAGCCCATCTCCCACACATCAAGGGACTCGACCTCCACCGCCGCCCCCGACGCAAACAGCGCGACGCCAGTACGATCCTCCTCCTGCCCCTGCCCTGCCGGCGGCGCCGCCGGCGCGACGCCGTCGCAGTTGATGGTGGGGTCGGTGCCGCGGCCGTGGCCGCAGCCGGGGCAGGGGCAGGCGGGCGGGTGGCCGCGGTACATGCGGCTGGTGAGGGTCTCGCCGGTGGAGGTGAAGACTTCGAGGGCTGAGCCATCCAGCAGGACGCGCAGGGTCAGCGGCTCGCCTGCGCGCGACAGCGTGGGGGAGCGCCACCCAAGCGGTGAGGCTGGGGAGGTCAGTGAGCGCGTCGCGGGGGCGCGGCTGGCGCCATCGAGAACGGACAGCACACGCTGGGTTTCCAAAACTGCAGGCCTCACATGATATGTTTCACCAGGACGGGTAAAACAGGTGACCACATGGGTGTGCCTACATTCGACCCGCATTTGGCCCTGAAACAAGCCCGCACGCTGCCCCGCATGCGCACACCCCCCGACCCATACCATGCCAAGACCCGCGCCCTCGCCCCATGCCGACCTGGCGTGTAAAACCGCAGCGGCCCGCCCACGCGCCGCCCCTCGGGGCTGTCCGCCCCGCGGGGGTCGTAGGCGTTGGGGAAGGGTTCGTCCCAGTCCAGAGCCAGAAAGTGGCTGTCCCAATCAAAGCTCAACACCGCCGCCCCGCGGCCACCAGCGCGCCACGACTTGAACACCAGCCCCGCGGCCGCAGGCTCGCCCTTGCCCCGGTCCTCGGAGCTGCCACCGCTGCCGATGTCGGAGGGGGAGGCTCGGGGGCCGGGGGGCACGAGGGTGATGGATATGTCGAGGTGGGTGCCGCTGACGACGCGCAGGGGCAGGAGGGGGCCGGCAGGGTCGAGCTTCAGGCCGCGCGCGTGCCAGGAGACCCTGACGTGAGGGAGGGGGGTGGTATTAGAGGGAAAGTGTGTGAGCGAGTGCTTGTGACATCATGAAAGAGTGTGTGTGTGTGTGTGACGTCATCGACAGAACTGCCAGCCTGCGAAACGCAGCTGTCTTCGAAACAGGGCAGCGGAGCGCAGGGACTGAGCCGTGCTGCCGGCAGCGCCACTGCGGGCAAGCAGCGTCACCCCTGCGCCACCAAGCTGCCACGTATGGCTGCATCCGTGCAATCAACTCTTCAAGTATGCGTGCGGCGCAGGCAGGCCAAGCCCAAGCAGCCAAACGCCCGCCCACCGTGTGCGGAGGCGTGTGATCTCAGGCAGGGGCTCCTGGTGCAGGCGGCCGTCCAGCAGCGTCACCACGCGCGGCGTGCTGATGCAGCCGGCGTAGGAGTAGTCCCCGCACAGTGCGGGCGGCGTGGGCACGCGGCGGTGCTCCTGGATCCACGCGTACACCAGCTGGCGGCCCTGCGGCTCGGCACGGGGTTTTGAGGTTGACTGAGGGGAATGTAATGGGTACTACTCACAGACGGATGAAGGGGTGCGATGAGGAAGATGCAGGAGGAGACTGTTGAGGCTTTTATAAGGGGGCGTGGGTGCTGATACATCCTCCCAAACCACACTTCTAGATCCAGAAGCACAAAACAGTGGGCACGCGTGAGCCGCAGCAGGTCGGGCAAGAGGGGAGGGGTCGCACCTGGGGGTCTGTCCAGAGAGTGGCCGCATAGAGGGTGGACCCAAGGTCCAGCCTGTGGGGCCCGTCTGCCGCGGTGACGTCAAACGTGCCGCTCTTCTCATCATATTGGCCCAACCACCACGTGATCGGGTTGTTGCACGCGTCCGGCGACATGCAAAGCCACCAGTCGCGCGCCGGCGCCGGCGGCGCCGCCTCCGCCATCGCGGGCGTCGCGGCCGCGGCGCGCCCGGCGGCGCGGGCGAGGGCGAGGGCGTGGCCGGTGCGGGGCGGGGTCGGGGG